TCAGCAGCGTGGTTCCTCTGTAATTGGCGCACTCCAGTCTGTGTCCCTTTTTGTAGAGGGGACAAACGAGACCATCCAACCAACTAGTGGGCAATTCTTCCTCCTCTCATATCTTGAGCAGTATACGGTGGATCATCTGGTGCAGCTGCTCACTTCCGTGTTTGAGAAGTTCGGCCGGGAGCTCGTCCTTCCCCGCAGCCTTACTGTTTTTCAGCTCTCGTATCGCCTTTTTCACCTCTTCTAGCGTTGGTGGTTCCACAGCTTGACCATCGTCGTCGATGTGTGTTCTATTTGTAGATTATCTCTCGTTCTCTCCGTTCAGCAACGTCTCGAAGTACTCCTTCCACCTGGCAGCCACCATCGTTTTATCTGTCAGCAGATTACCTTCACGGTCATAGCACATGGCGGGAGACGGCGCTGTCTCATTGACAGTTGCGTAAAACCTTCGCATATCATTCTGCTCCATACTTTCTTTAACCTCAGCAATAACGCGTTCCTTGTACAGCATTTTTTTTTCTGCAATGGGTTCGTTTCTTGGCTGACCTTGCTACCCTGTACCGCTCTCTGTTCTGACGGCTTCTGGCGACGTTCTTCTCCTCTGTCACTCGCTGGCACTCCTCGTCAAACCACCCGTTCCGGGGGCACCTCTGAGCTGTACCTATCACCTCTCGTGCTGTTGTGCTCACCGCTCCGTGAACAGCTTCCCGCAGATTGTTGAGACTCTCGTTCACGTTGATTTCCGCTATCCGCTCATTCAGCTTCTGGTGGTACTCTGCAGCAACACCATCTACTGTCAAACGCTGGATGTTGAAACGCATCGATCTCCGGTTTCTCGAACTCGTAACGGTCGAATTTTCGCGACAACGAGGTAGTGATCCGAGTCGATATTAGGACCCCTGAAGGTCCTGACATCTACGACATCCGACAAATGCCGACAATCCACCAACACGTGGTCGATCTGGGAGCAAGTTTTGCCATTAGGGTGTCTCCAGGTGTGCTTTTGGATATCTTTGCGTGCAAAGTGGGTGCTACTGACGAGCAGCAGCGAAGTTTATCAGCTTCAGGCCATTATCATTAGTTGTAGAGTGAAGGCTCTCTGTTCCAATGATTGGGCGAAAGAATTCCTCTCTTCCGACCTGCGCGTTTGCATCTCCGATGACAATCTTTACGTCGTGTTTAGGGCACTCATCATAGGTTTTATCCAGGCTTTCATAAAACGCGTCCTTCACGTCATCGGATTTATCGTTAGTCGGTGCGTAGATGTTGATCAGGCTGTAATTGAAGAATTTGCCACGAATCCTCAAAACGCAGATGCGCTCGCTAACCGGTTTCCACCGCATAACCCGCTTCATCTGTTTCCCAATCACTACGAAACCAACTCCGTGTTCTGCTCTATCGCCACCGCTGTAGTAGATATGGTATTTGAACGATGTGTTGGCGATAGGATCTACCGCCCTGAATTCACGTTCTCCAGATCTAAGCCACCGTACTTCTTGAATAGCAGCCACACTCACATTCACCTTTTGCAGTTCACGGGCCAGAAGGCCCACTCGTCCAGGTTCATTTAACGTTCTGACATTCCAAGAACCGAGTTTCCATTCATCGTCCTTATTTCTTTGCCGTTGGGTCAGTTGCCGAAAATTCCGTTCGTTTTTTATTCTTCTTACTTCATTTTTATGAGTACTTTTATATTTCAGTATGCTACCGTACCAGGGTCGCGATACCTACATCGTGTTGATGGGGCTGCCATCTTAGGTTTAGTTGACACGATTCAACATTTCTTGTTTCAGCCGCTGGCTGCCAGACAGACGCTGTTTGAGCCGCACCTCCTGGTGGACAGACGCTCGACGATTCACACCTCCTCAGTCTTGCTATCATCACGATATGGGTTAATCGTGATGACATTGCCCACACCCCGCTACCAGCACATATATGGGCATATACTGGCTGTCATCATCCGACACGTGGAAGCGTGAGGTAGGAGCTTGTGAAGACCAACATAGCGCTCTTTCCCCTGTGGTCCTCACCATTTTGGGGTTCTACTTCTTCAACCGGTGTTAAAAACAGCACTCTCGCCTTTCCTTCCTCACACAGCAGCGGAAACCCTAAAAAACCCCGAAATACACACTAACTGCTCCAACTAGAGGGATCTCAGCAGAGAAAAAAAATGGACTTCGTCCACTTTACATCACCAATCGCTCGCGACACAATGGCTTTAGTTCGCCAGTGCAGTCTGCGCCAGCATCTCACCGACAGAATCAACTCGAGACCAACGTCTAATAGCGACGCACTGTAATTTGGCATGTCTGCCTAAATATGAACGGACCACAAGGCACCATAACCTTTTTTGCGGTAGCAGTGCATTCTGGCGGTCAATGAGGTTACTTTTCACTCCACCTAGTAGAGATCTTAAAATATATCTTATTCATGTAAATCGATCGTAATTGATGAGTTAAGAACCCATAGTTCTGTGCTACGTTTTTAAAATAGAACTCGACTACGTGCTACCTCTTCCACTGCCAAAACTTTAGCGCTGTGGTTACTGGGTAGGTTGTGTATGCTTCTAGAATGCCGTAAAACGGGGTATCTTTAATAATGCGGGTAACTTTGATAGTAAAATATAATGATTAAATTTACTCTCTGCGCTTTTCCGAATTAGACACTTTGGTTCCATATTGTAGCTAAGAGAATTTCCGTTGATATCGTTTGCAGTTTTTATATAGTACATGTTACATATATATTACAAACATATTAAAACACGATTTTCGAGTTTTTCGCCTGTTTGAAAAAAAAAAAACACTCAAACCATTACTTATGAAATGTTTTTCCTAAACAGTCATCACAAATTCAATGTTGTTTTTTTATTGCTTATGATGTATTCTGACTATATACTCATGCAAAGTTTCATATTTCAAGAAATAAATTGCTTAACATTCAAAGTGTTTTTATGTTACTTCATACACGAAGTTAACGATTTTCAGAGTTGGTTGGAAATGCTAACATGAAGCTTTAGTGTGATTATTTATTAGCTAGAGAATGATCTTTAGAACGGAACTATCCACCTACCCTCTTCTAAAGATCATTCTCTAGCTAATAAATCATCACACTAAAGCTTCATGTTAGCATTTCCAACCAACTCTGAAAATCGTTAACTTCGCGTATGAAGTAACATAAAAAACACTTTGAATGTAACAACTCAAGGCGGGAGTAGCCGTCAACAATGCTGATGATGGTACAGCACGCAACAACCACCCTACTGCTTTCTCTCTGAGATGATCACGTTGGTCATGACGAGAGGAGCAACAAAATAGTTGGGTAAAGAAGAACTGCATTATAACACACCATCGACTGGAAATGCTCTCGCAACGTGGGGCTTTAGGTAGTGATGAAAACGTCGCTAGAACTATTCCACAGCCGCAGTCAGTTTATGAGCAAAAAGAGGGACGCACATTTTTGCCTGTAGACTTGGAGACATACTTCAAGTCTCCGCGTACATCGTACGGGTTAGGCAAAAATGTGCGTCTATCTTAAAAAAAAAAACTGTCGCATTAATGGCCCTTCGCTCATTTTCAACTTCTATTCAATTTTCATACTGCCGTACTCTAACGGAACTATCCACCTACCCCTCTTCTAAAGATCATTCTCTAGCTAATAAATCATCACACTAAAGCTTCATGTTAGCATTTCCAACCAACTCTGGAAATTGCTTAAGTTTCCCCTCTTTCCTTTCTACATTCATCAAGCATTATCAAAGTTGCCCCAAATCAAAAAACTGATGTTCGATCACAAAACTAAAAAAAATAGTGCAAATGCTTAATTTCCGTCAAACATATTACTCATGAATTAACTCTAGGATCCTCAGTACTTAAAAAAAATAACAATTGAAAAACATGCATTGCTTTAAAAATATTTAGAATATACTTTGAAAAACTATCAATGTTACCCCGTTTTACGGTACTGCTTTCTTAACTAATGTATATCGATTTCATGATTTTGTTTATATCCCTAATAGTACGCTAATCTCAAATCGGTTGTAATAACTTCCATAGGACTTATTTCAGTAATAGACAAACTGCTGCAATTTTTCGTAATGGAAGTGTGCTACGTTGCTAAGGCCGTCGTCCAAATCGCGGTAGATCTAGTATATCATTTGATCAGAACTCCAAAACCACCAGCGGCACCGGTGGTGTAGTGATAAGCATGATTGCCCTTCACCCAAAGGACCTGGGTTTAATCCCTGTCGGCGCCGCCGGGATTTTCTGAGGCATAGAAGTTTAGAATTCCATAGTTAAACGTTGGGAGTCTCTCCGGAATTCATTTGATATTTTTTTTCTCAGCATTCCAAGATTGCTCTGCAGTACGTTCTAAAGTTTATCTTCAGAGATCTCTCGGAATTCACGTTACAATTATCTTCGAGTTCTTCAAAAATCTCACACAGATTTGAATTTATCTCCATAGTTCGCTTGGAACATTTCACTGCATTCCACTTCTCCATCAATAAATATGACATCACAAATGTGTTAACCTTTCATAAAATTCCCTGCGCTGGCAACCTTTCCGTGGCGAGGTCAAATCTCTCGTGGTTGTTCTTGAGTCAAGTCCACACACAGCACACAAAGAATTGCCCTGTTATGCTTCCAAGTCAAGTCTAGCGATAGCTCTGGCAGAAAGAGAGCGACAGCATTCTCCCTCCCCCACGCACCCTTCCAATCATCGATAATACAAGCAACCCCGGCAGCAACAGTGGTCCTACCCCACAGCGAACGGTGTGTGGCGTAGGGCCATCACCGACCGACCACCGGTATGTGTGTGGGATTTCTCCGCCAACTCTCGTCTATGGTCGTCCCACTCGCGCTCACGGCCACGTGTGCTGGCAGGCTGACTGGCTGGTTGGAAAATTCTCACACTTTTCCTGCAGCGACAAGGAATCCCAGTCGCAGCAGAGAGCGCGAGTGCTGCTCTAGAGCTAGGAGGAGTGAAAACCAGAACGGCAGCAGCAAGCAGGAACACGGCACACATCGGAAAATGCAGAATTGATTTTACTCGGAACGGTCGATCCTGCAGCAGTGAGTAGTGAAGAAAAATTTTCCTGTCCCAGTGTAGCCGAAATCTGGAGGAGAATTCGTACAAACGGGACCGGAAGCGGAAAGGTATCGATCGTGATCGAGTAGAACGGGCTAGGACGGGTAGAAAATTAGGATTTCGCTGCCAAAAAAAAGTCTCGCGAAGCTCTGCAGAAGGAGGAAAAAAAGCGCAAGGGATCCTCCAGAACGTTTCGCGAAGTGAGGAAAAATTCTTCCAAGCAGTACAAGTTCTTCACGGTGGATGAGAGCTATAAACGTAACTTAATCGGTTGTGCAGTGTAAAGTTGGCTTTACTTGGATAGGATCATTGCTGGGAAAAGTGAAAAGTGCGAAAAGGATCCGCAGAATCGAATAGAAAAAAGATCCAGGGAAAATTATCAAATTTTCAAAGAATTTTCCCATTCCCAGCACACAACGGCGGGGTGTGAGAGTGTATGTGTGAAAATCTGCGACAGTGTGAGTGAGTGTGTCCTACAAAATAAGTATATGCTGCCGTGTTCGAGTCCTTTCCGTTTGAATTGGGCTGATTTGTCTGTGTGGCGAAGGCAAACCAGCAGCAGCAGCAGCAGCAAAGAGCACGAGAGCAGAAAGGTTATGTGCTAATAAAATAGGAGCAATCGGGTGCCCTCGAGTTGTGGGAAGCACGGGGGAAGATACCAAATAGAGAGGAAAAAATATCAGAAAAGTGGCAGCCGCACCAGAAGAACGCAGCACCTTAGGAGAGCGAGTAAAGGATTAAGAATTAATTTCCGTTGGCCGCTCGCCAGCAGCAGGAGGATATTTTGAGTCCGACCATCGACGGCAGGGGCAGCTGGCCTGGAGCTTAGCAAAAACGTGCGGAATTCCAAATTGCTGGTGTTGATGACAATAATAATCGCCATGACAGGAGCCACCTCTACCGTTCTCTTCATCAGCTATGGATCAAATTAGTTCAGTGGAACGGCACCGGATAACTTGTATCGACTTCGTTTCATCTCCAGTAGCAGTGGCTGCGTTAACGGCGTGCGGCCTCCAGCTTCTATCATCGGCCGCTGGTAGATGAATGTATTTGTGGTTTAAGGTAATTTTATCGTTCCAATTATTTTTCTTACTGAGTGTGAGGATGGGTTATCAGATCGTATGTACATGTTGCTGCGGGGACAGGATGAAGTGGGAAAAGTAACTTGAAACGTGTACGGAACCCTGATATGAGTATACAGGGCGATGATGATTAATGGATCTCGAATAGGGATCTCCTTGTTGTTTCCTTTGAAGCGTTTCGTATCATTACCACCAATAAAGAAGCTGCAGGTCAGTGATTATCTGTTGAACGTGTCATCAGCATCTGGGCTTTGCTCGTGTCCGGGAGATCTAATCAAGCGATTCTAGGGCAGATGGTATGTGGCTATTGAGGTTGGTTAGTTTCATTGCTCTTGAGAAAAGCATTTTGATGAATAAATGCAGGAAAAACGAGATGGATTGGACTTTGGATTAAAAATCAACATTTTCTCATAATTCTTCTGCCAAAACTAGTTTTCAATTTCCTCATAGCTTCGATATTCAAGAGGAAGATTTAATAATACTTCAATGAAATTTTGAGGGATCGTATTACTAATCTTTTACATATACAACTTAACTTTTTTTTTATCCTGCACCAAGGTGCTGGTTTTTATGAATACAGAATTGGCCCATCTTATTTTATATCTGCTTCATAGTCCACGGTGTCTCTGAGCTTGAGCTTGAGCTTGAGCTTGATTGACCGCCCACGGTTGCTACTCTGTTATTGCCAGATCAGCTGTAATTACACAGAGAACCAATAGACGATGCTTGGGACTAGCAATCATCCTCAATGTGTAAAAACTGGTGATCTTAAATTAGGCAATACCAGCACCGGCCGCCCCCGAACACAGGTCAAGAAAGGAATGGGAAGGATTGTGTTGACGTGACACTCGCTTTGATGGAAGCCGAGAACACCTCTGCACTTCCACGAGGAATCACTGGGATGTTGGATAAGAGGGTTGGGTTTGCAGCAGGGTTCGTTTTGGTAAACGATAAGCTGAATTGATGTCCTAACGATCATATAACGCGAAGGAGCTTGGGACTAAACCCACGGTCTTCTGCTCAGTAAGCAAAAACGTTTGCCACTAGGCAGACGAGCACCTTTTTAATCACCGAATTGCTGTTATTGCCATGTTGTCATATTAACAAATAAAACGATTGACGAATCTTGAATGTGGATGGGCCTGAGATTAGACTCATGATGTTCTGCTCAGTAAGCAAAAACGGTTGCTTTAAGGCCACCGAGCCCCTCATATCACATAATACCGTTGCTCAAATTTGTGTATCCATTTCGCAAAATACACGATACACAAGCGATTTTACCATAAATCTCTTTGATATGTAAGGACCTGGGACCGCGTTTTTCTGCTCAGTAAGCAGGCCACTGTAACCGACGATCTTTCAAATCCGAAAACTAAAAACTACGAAAAAGTACTTAGGCCTTCATTAAGTTCCACTTTCACGCGACGTTCAATGTTTCAATTTGCTCTTTCCGTATTGTTCAGGCTATAAATAGGCCCTTTTCAAAAGTTACACGAGAAATACGCACAATCGTCGCCTACCTCGCAAAACTGGTTCCAAACGGCAACAAAGGCATAAGCAGCGATGGATTGTTGAACATTGCTGGCTCCGGTGGTGTAGCGCACAGCAAAACAAAATGTAATTCAAGCTGATGTATGAAATAATGATGTAATTGTAATTTTGTAATTTATCAGCACACACCCTGGTCAACCACTGTAAACCAATCTGCCGTTAAGCGAGTGTGTACCTACTGAAACCTGGCCGTAGGCCTATGTTAGACCGTATAGCATAACGACCTTCTTCCACTAGCAGGCCTGTTTCTATTTGCACAGACAGCCCACTAGTTTCCGATACATTTATAGGGGATAGTAGAAGATTAAAAGAATGGAGAAGAGTTATAGAGGTTTTTTTGTTGTTGTTTTGCTGAAAAGAGAGAAACAGAACTATACGAAATTACACCTGCTGAAAAAAAGATAAGTCTATTATTTTGGCTAGTGATCGTTTGGATTTGGGTCACCCCACGTTGTGTTTAGGTTAGTATTAATAAATAATACTATATAAATAGTCATATAAATCACCACAGCTCATTATCTTCAGCGTTATCGGTTTTTGTTTCTGGATCTTTAGTTGCCTCTGTGGTATACTTACTTGCGGCATACTATTTTGGGAGTGTATATGAGCGAGTACCATGTACGGTAGCTCATCTCTCATCGTGATGGTGGGACATAGTAGACAAATTAGAGAGAAAACAAGGAGGTATTAGTATTAAGTATATGTAAACAAACAAAACAAAAGAAGAGAAGAGGAAAGAAGAGCAGAAAAATAAAAAGGGGATAAAGTAGATAACAAAGAAAAGAAACGTAGGCAGATTATTAGAAAAGCCATTATCCGAGACCTCAATCAAATGTCACTCCCGCCGAGATCCCAGCGAAACCCTCCCCGCCGAGACCCGCACAGCCAAGCTCGGTAGAAAAAACTAAGTGTGTTGATAGAATAGTAGGAAAATAAATAAAACTACTTTATGACTCAAAGTGCAATGAATGAGCGTTAATTTCGGAATCATTTCAGTGTTGGAGCTATGTTAGTTTTGATCCGTAATCAGCCCTGCCGACCCCTCCAACATTAGTTGCAGGCAGTGGTTGTTAGATAATGCGGCACTGTAACTACTACTATTTTAGAGGTATGATTCGCCAAGTTTATACAACTCAATGTTTCAATTGAGGCAAACTATCTATCTTACAATTACAAAAGCAAACCTAAACTTACAATTATATGCAAATGCAAAATGAAACTTGACAAATCATCGTCAATCCCCTTATTCCAGGGCAGGGCCTGACGATTTGAATCTAATTTTGATCAGTGAACGGGCACCATATGGTACATTTTCTCACCATGAACCTATCATTTCCAGCCTATCTGAACTATTTAATAAATGGAAGCCATAACATGGGTTACGCTCCTCCTAAGTGGGCCCTCTGCATCCTGTATCTGTCTTATTTCAAATACAAAATGCCAATGGTATGAATGTATCTATATATATAACTTGGAAATGACGTACAATCAAATAAACCCGTAACCCACTCACTTGGTCAGGCTTCAGAATCGTCCAGTGGGCATTGCGCTCTACACTCCAAGTTCCCTTTTTTCAAATTTACCGCAAATTTGATATTTTACCCATTGAGTGTTGATTAGTCACAATGAAACATTGTGACAGAAGTTGAGGTTACTAGTGTATTAAATAAGCTAGGTCCTATTTAGGATTATATCTGAAAAATCCAAATCTGGCCAACGCCCACCCTAAACCTAAACCTGTTCTAATCCACCTGAAATGACTGCTTCATAGTCCACGGCGTCTCTGGAAAAAAACTAAATTAAAAAAAAAAATCAGTATCGCCGAAACACCCACCAAACCAAAGCTTAGGGTAACTCCTTTCATATGAGACTTGTATGGAAATGTTCTATCGGATCTTGAACAATCTATTAATTTTCGTATTTTTCAGTGTAAATCACGTCCACACGTTAATTTGAGATAGGGTTAAATACCTTCCTATTAAGCACAACCCGCACTTAGTCTTTCTTATTGAAATCAACTGAATTGAAATGTATTAATTGTTTGAAAATAAATAAAGAACGTAAAATGAACTTGGAAGTCAACCATGCCGCATTTAGATCGGAATGTTTGCTCTATAAAAGACTTTTTTATCAGAAGAAAAGCAGCTTGCGTTTCAATAAATAGCAGCCAAGTTCCAGGAATGTGAATCAATTCGATTTTTTATATTTGAATATTACGGGGTTGTCAACAAACTACGTAGCAATACGTCAGATTGTTGAGGAAAAACGTCCTCTTTTAGTTTTCTTATCTGAAACTCATATTGTAGAAACTGAAGCTTTTGATCCGTATAGTATTCCGGGATATATTGTTGCTGCTTGTTTATCACATTCTAGACACACTGGCAGTGTTGCTATTTATGTCAAAGGATCAGTTAAATTCAACCTTCGTACCAACGAAGTTATTGATGGCAACTGGTTCTTGGGCATTACAGTTGTACGTGGCATGAAGATGGGTAATTATGGTGTTTTGAATCATTCTCCCAGTTTTAGTGACCAGCGTTTTGTTGAAGTTTTAGAGAACTGGCTCGAGACATTCATTGATTCTAGTAAATTAAATATATTGGCTGGTGATCTTAAAATAAATTGACGTGATAACCATAATTCCAATCATTTGAAGCGTTTAGCTGAGTTTTGTAACAACTCAAGGCGGGAGTAGCCGTCAACAATGCTGATGATGGTACAGCACGCAACAACCACCCTACTGCTTTCTCTCTGAGATGATCACGTTGGTCATGACGAGAGGAGCAACACAATAGTTGGGTAAAGAAGAACTGCATTATAACACACCATCGACTGGAAATGCTCTCGCAACGTGGGGCTTTAGGTAGTGATGAAAACGTCGCTAGAACTATTCCACAGTCGCAGTCAGTTTATGAGCAACAAGAGGGACGCACATTTTTGCCTGTGGACTTGGAGACATACTTCAAGTCCCCGCGTACATCGTACGGGTTAGGCAAAAATGTGCGTCTATCTTGAAAAACTGTCGCATTAATGGCCCTTCGCTCATTTTCAACTTCTATTCAATTTTCATACTGCCGTACTCTAACGGAACTATCCACCTACTCTCTTGTAAAAAAGATCATTCTCTAGCTAATAAATTATCACACTAAAGCTTCATGTTAGCATTTCCAACCAACTCTGAGTTTTTTTATTTAAAGCAAACGGTAAATGAATATACGCGTTTTTTCAGGCACAGTAGAACCACGTTTATTCCAATTTTGATTCCATTTGTTCAGTTACGGATACTGATTTGAAAATAACCGATCATGAGACCTTAGTGATTAATGTCTTAGACCATGTTAACTATGACGATATTTTTGTAAAATTGAAGTGCTGGAGGAAATATTCGAAGCAAGCTGTTGCGAATCTTGTTGAGAGGAGCGTGGATTT